GATTTTAATTACTGTACAAAATTTCAGACAATTTGGTTTAGTTTAAGCCCCTTTTTTCACGCAAAGTTACAATTTTCCCGAAAAATCAGCTATTTGCATGCTTAATTAATGCATTTGCCTAATTTGCATATGTCAGCAATAGGCAAATTAGGTAAAGGCATTAATTAAGCATGCAAAAGGCTGACTTTTTAGAACAAAATGATGAATAGTTGAAGGGCTTAAACTAAACCAAATTGTCTGAAATTTTGTACAGTAATTAAAAACCCGACAAATTTTCAATATATTAACTCAAAATATGATTACAGCTTTTAAATTTTGTGCGCGAGCCATTTTTAGTTTGTTGGAAAAGACACACCCCCCTGGTTCACAAAATTTGAGTTCGAGAAATTTTTTTCATCATTTTACATTATAAGTACCCAAAGAAGATATATATATAAAAAAACAGATACAAATAGGTGTTTTGCGAAATTGAGAGCAATTTCAAATCTGTTCAGTTTTTTTTTATACACCCTGTAGTGTCTGTAAGGTCTATTTTTATGTTGTTTATCTCTTTTATATCAAACGTTTTCATGCATGCAGGATATGATATTATAGCGTTAAATTAGGCCGAAAAGCTAGTAGCCTATTTGATAAACCAGGTTGTATAATTCTCAAATTCTATTACCAATGTTGCAATTATAAAATAGTTATAAACATAAAATACCGTCAACAATTTGACCAGACTGCCAGTTCTGTACAAAGTGTCCTCATTTGGAGTTTTTGCAGGAAGAGTTGACTTATCTAAGATTCCATATGCCGCATTCCACAGTTGGTCATTTCTGTACACTGCGGTACAAGACACTGAAACCTAGAAAATGAAACAAGGCATATAAATAGTAGATGATAATTGCCGAAAAACCGCACACAGAAGAAATCTGTAAAAGTCACAAGCCCAGCATGCATGACCAGGGGAACCAACCCGAGTCAGTGTTGAGCCGCGGGACGACATAACCTCGCTATAAAAAATAGTCTGTAAATAGAGATTTGTTTCATAACATCGAATGTTATATATACATATTATGGCAGATATTAAGTCTGTAAACTATGAAGGAAAGGAAAACCGAAGAAAAGAAGAAAGACAAGAATTAAGAAAGTGTGTATGGAAGGGTGGAGGAAGCAAGGATGTGAAAACAATCAACAAACTAATTGCGAAATTGGTAATCGCATGCAATGTTTACAAAAATATGAATGCCCACAGCAAGTGCGCCACTGACGTCCCAATCGAATCATTCCACATTTTTCACTTACTAGTGTCTTCTTTCCAATCTTTTCTTTCAACAGTTTTTTTACATCTTGAAATGTTTGTTGAACTCCACGAGGAAGAGTGTACGGTAATGACTTCTTCTTGCCAACTTGTGGGCATTGCCAAGTTTTCTCTTCATTTGGTGTCTATGCACAATTAAAAAATCGATAGTGCTGTAATCAGAAATATGACTATAAACGCGTTTCGTATAATTATTGTTTGCTCTGCATGTAACTTAAATTGTGAAGACAACAACACTTCGGAAATTGCGTTGCAACGCTAATAACTGTAATAGGCCTAAAGTTGACAACTACAAAATCGGTTCACTGGAAAGACATTGCTAATTATAGTTCTGAATACTCTATGACTCAGAAGTATATAGGCAGAGGAGAAATTTGATTTTAGCTGCTCACTATATCTATGTACTGCAGTAAGAGTAAAAATTTGGACGCAATGGACAAGATCGACTTTATTCGTTTCTCTGTCAAACAGAGAATCGTTGCCTTATATACAGAGGAACGAGTATACAGACGAACGAGTTAAGCTATATAGCCCAATGTTGAGGGTCTCTGTAAAGAACGGAAACCGAAACGACCGAATCCAGAAACGACCGAAACCGGAAACGACCGAAACTGGAAATTCCCGCCTAATTTCCTGCATAAAATTGCCTAAAATTTAGCCTGCTAGCAGGCTCACTGGTAGAAAGGTGAGCCTGCACTGAACCATGCGTTTTATTCATTCAATCATTCATCCCTTATAATTATAACTAACAAAGACTGTCAACTATCAAATTAACGCAGGGCGTGAAATGTACAACGACGAAATGTATAAAACAAGTGTGTAAACTCCAAAGATCGATAACATTTTTATCAATTAACGTTTCGACTATATTTCAATCATCAGGATAAAGAAATGTATATAACAATAATACGAAGCATTAGCAAGCCGCACAATATATTAAATATAGGCTGCAGATAATACATAATTACGAGTTAATCAATACACATACAAATTAAAAGTCGAATAAAATACTACCATTGAATGCAATAATACTTGTACTACTTGTGATTGAAAGAACAATGTTCTGAATTTTTGAAGCTATTAAAATGCAGTCAGATAAATTGGGATTTGGAATACGTCTAAATGAGCATGTATTTAATTTTTTCAAAATCAAGAGCGTGCCATTTTAGTGGAAGCCGTATCGTATGTGAAATGAGAAAGTGAATGTAATATCGTTTTTATTAAATTAAACAAAACCAGCATGAACTGGCATTGTTCAGAAAGTTAATAAGATGCAGTAAGATTTATATTAAATAATTTTCAAAATTGTCAGCAGTTAAATAGTACACAACCTTTAGTTACTTTCGGACGATATTTATCTAAATGTTTATATGCCAGCGTCGAACATCAACAAAATAATTATTCGTTATGCAGGAAATTTAGGCGGGAATTTCCGGTTTCGGTCGTTTCCGGTTTCGGTTGTTTCCGGATTCGGTCGTTTCGGTTTCCGTTCTTTACAGAGACCCCAATGTTGATGATGATAACAATTTTTATTCAGGAGGCAATCTCACAGAAGTGATTTTCAGAATGGTCCTGTACTATTGGACTAGTTAGTATTATACAAAGTAAAAATATTATATCTAATCTATTTACCATGTTGTCAATATCATAAATGATCTATCATTATATACAGTACTTGCTGAACTAGTAAAGTTTAAGAGTTGAGAAAAGCATGCAATAGCTAGTACATCATGGCCGACAGCCAAAAACGTTCGATTTAAATTGAGAAATTGACTGGGCGTTTTCACAATCCGACTCAAGGTTGTTTTAATCATAGCCATAGGATTATTTAAACATTAAAAATGAAGATGCATCGATGGGCATGTCTTCTTTCACTTAATTTGTTGACGGAGAGGAGATTGGTTTGTTCAATATAATTTTTGCTGCTTTACTTTGTTGAACTTGTAAATCGTTCATAAATAATATATTATTTTTGTTTCCCCATATTACACCCCCATGGTCAAATAAAGGAAGAACAGGACATGCAGTTAAAGAGTGGCAGTCGGGAATCAGTTGGTAACAGATCTTTGATTCTCTTAAATTAAGGAGGCTCCCTACAGTTTCCAATATATGTCAGTGTTTTAAACTAAAACCTATTTAATTAATTTGAATCTAAAAAAAATAATTTTTTGCACAAGCCATTGTTTCCTCTTATATAAAAGAGTAATTTTAACCCCAATCGCTACTCTTCACGTTGCCATGACAACATGACGTCACGTTCTATATGGCCTATATCAACCAAAAAAGTCGTCTTAGCGGACAAATAAGCACGGTGACCTACCTTTTTTATTCCAGAAAATACTTTGTTATGAAGTTTTGAATCTTTTTTGAAAGTTATTTGAAAATCGCCAGTGTAGTTTTCGAGAAACTGAATTTCAGCCTTTCCAAAAGCTAAAATACAATCTTAAAGGCTGAAATTTAATTTCTCGAAAACTACACTGGCGATTTTCAAATAACTTTCAAAAAGGATTCAAAACTTCATAGCAATGTATTTTCTGCAATAAAAAAGGTAGGTCATCGTGGTTATTTGTCCGCTAAGACGACTTTTTTTGGTTGGTATAGGCCATATATATGGTGACGTCATGTTGTCACGGTAACGTGAAGAGTAGCGATTGTGGGTTAAAATTACTCTTTTATATAAGAAAAAACAATGGCTTGCGCAAAAAATTAGTTTTTTTAAGATTCAAATTAATTAAATAGGTTTTAGTTTAAAACACTGACATATATTGGAAACTGTAGGGAGCCTCCTTAAAGCAGACCCGTGCAATCAATGTTCCTACTGACGTAACCTGTTACCTGCCATATAAACGCATTATCTTAGAGAATGTTGTAACAAAGCGAAGGTTTATTGCATTTACAAAGCTCTTCTCGTGTTTTATTTTTACTAGTTCTTGATCTGACAAAAGTATATATTAATTTTACAGATATCACATGCATTAATCTATTATATAGTTATTAGGCCTATACCCGTGTTCGAGAACTTAAAACAGGAATTTCGTCTTTCTTGTCTTGATCGGACGCCTATAACAAAATATTTAAATTATTATAACGTATAGTAAGTTACATGTTGGAATTAGAAATTGTGAAAATAAAATGAAAACGTTTATTATTTTTTTTAAGTTACGTGCACAATTAGTCAAAGCAACCATAGGCCGATTGTATAATTCATATGCTGCGCTATTGATTAGTACAATTAAGTTGTGCTGCCAATAGTATGATTGATACAGACTATATACTTAACTGAGTAGATATACAGCTATTTCAATTAAGGTTATAAATTCATTCATTTATTAGCGATTCCCAGCAGCCTTTCGCGCTCGTATTCGACTTTTTCGCTTTGCTTGGGGTACAACCTTAATTGAAATAGCTGTATGCAACAGCGTATGGTCACCTCAAAGCGACCCTCTATTAAAAGACGACAGACATTGTCCCAGATTAAACGCATGTAAAACTTGTAAATTTAATCTCTTAACACAGACGGGCACAGACTGCCTGATGTGTATAGGCCTATAATGTCACTTATACTTATAGGCGTAATTTACGTTGTATAGTTCGTCTCATTATAAACATTGATTCATCTGAGATGTTCAAAATAGTTAAGAGAAAGTTCAGAGTTGACTTATACCGCTACCACTATACCACTATATTTCTTCTCACTGGCGCGCAGGACGCAGCTGATTGGTATAGCGGTTGTCGTCATGACGACCACCTGCATAAAGCGGACACCTCTCTAATTTATATTTGCTCTGCCACTTGGCCGATCTTTTCAGTGTCCGAGAGTTTCGACTGTAACTATTAAATATTCAATGAAGCTGGAATCACTTAAAACTAACATCAGAAAGACCAGGCAATCAAGTTTAAATAAAAAATATAACATTGCCGGTATATGACTAAAACAAGAATCGACTATATAGTCTATAGTGGCTATCCTCGCGTGTATGGGTGTTTCGGAATCAACCGGCAAAGAAGTGAATTCAGAATGGAGAATTATTTTAGTATGTATCCAGAGTTTGCTGTTGCAATTGCTATGTATAACTAATCCATATTTTTGTGTGTTGATGCACAACCCATTCGCCAACATGCACGAAACAGTCCCTGTGTATGGCAAAACACTGAGTCTTTCTTAAATTTATTTATGGCACCGACTGGCAAGATGCGACAAATGTTCCATTTTTAATTAATCCATGCATGGGGATTCGGCGAGCAGCCATGCCATTCAGTGGCAGTAAAGCAATAACTGTATAGCTTGTCGACGTCATCCATGATGATGTGCTTCTTGCTGCAAGGCAGTATACTCTCTTAAGGTTCGTTTAAATGGACCCAACAATGTTTGCCCAACATCATGCATCAATCTTGAAATATTAGTTGGTTTACCTGCTTTGAAATCGTTTGAATAAAACTATAAGAATTAATTATTCAAAATTGAAAATCAGCACAGCATTTAAAATATTTGGAAAGAAACAGTATAAAACGTGGGGATATATGTAGTGAAGCAATTATATAGTGAACTGTATGTAGACTTATAGTTACCATTGTTTATCGATCACTACATTTATATCATATGGTTTTGTACGATCATGGCTTTTAATGGCATTAATATGCATTGACGTCCTATTCATTTATTATATCCAAGTTCCTTGTTTTCACAAAGCAAACTAATTCCATACCACTATGATAAGTCGATCATGTCGTTATTTCGTATATACGATTTTTAGAATGGGTATTAGGTTTTTTTTCGGCATTTTGGCCTTACTGCGCCCCCTGCATGGTAAAAAAATCCTGCGTACGGCCCTGCTGGTCACGACATCTTCGTTTGATGTTAAGAGCAACGTTTAATTAACAACAAAGGTTTACTCTTTCGATAACGTCCGTATGTTTCTGCTTGTTACTATACCATTATAAATGTTTAGGCTATTTCATTGACTGTTGTGCATGCATGCATGCACTTCGACTACGTGATCAGGTCACGAAATGTTCTGGCTGTTAATACATATATACACCTCGTGACAATTTCAGATATCGGTGTGTAGACAAAGACAATATACAAAATGCAACTAAACTCAGTAAAGGAAAAATGCAAGGATGACTGACCATGATGTATTGTACACATTGTGATTGTTTCGTAATCGACATGTAAATTCAAAGCAATAAATATACCAAGTAGCTTCGCTATAAGTATATCGAGAAAAATGATTTAATAATCTCTATAAAACACATTGGAGAACATTAGAATCAGCTCTTCCGGTATAGTCTCGGTATATATATATCCATGCAACATCAGACATCAACTATATGCTAAAAACTTATATATATCACATCACATGTAACCCGTACACTGACACTGCATGTGTTGGTTATAAATTAAAGACAAGCGCTACATGCTGAGACTGTTGTTTCATACTCTTCAACAACAGTGTTGCATGGTTGTTGAGAAAGTAAACGTATACATATATTATATATACTGACAATAAATGTACGTACTAATGCTAAATAGATCACGACACAAATATGTATACATCAAATGTTACACTGATCAACTTATTTTGTAGCTATTGCATTTTACGATAAGAATAAAATATGGACTGATCATATATGAATAAATTTAACCCTGACCGACGCCACCGCATAATAAATACTGCTTTGAAATTTATATAAAATGAAGTTAAAAATATTATGAATATACCTGTTCAATGTAATGATAATTACTGTATAAATCGAGTCTTCAAACTGACCTCTGTTAGATGTTCATCACAGTTATTTTTGCTTTCTAAAAGCCTCCAAACTAAAATAGCCGATACTGTTGCAAAAGCCAACGTCAATATTGCTATCGTCGCTTTTAAGTAAAATATTCTTATGTCCTTTGGGATATTCTTTATTTCTTTCGAATCCTGATTTGGATTGATGTACTGCACTGTCGTCGAAGGCATTTTTACAGCACAAAGAATTTAGTGGTGAGAATAAAAACATTATATTCACATGATGGCAAGATCGTGGTAATTATCTTCTTTCAATATTCATGTCGTCATGTTTTCATGGCAGAGTGGGAGGTGCTAGAAGGAATATAAAAGTTTGCTAAACAAAGAAAGCGTGTATATACATCTTGTCACGGTCAGTATGAAAATACTAAAAACTCGATCGATCTGCTACACTCTCCTGACGATATGGACCTTTGATAGAATTAACAATTAAGTGTTCAGAAAGAACTTCTTTCTAATCTTTTTCAGGCATCCATGCATGGTTTCGTATAACTAGTTTTACCACGGCAGGCGCTGAATTCTCAATTATTATGTAACAGCTATCAGAGAATAGTTATATAGTCTCATGTTATATGAGGTTTCTATAGAAACACACGTTCTATCTAATCAATAGCACTCAAATTGGAATAGTTGACAATGACATACAATCGACTTTGTTATTAAAACAGCTAGTATAAGCGATCTGAAAAAAATTCATTCCTGCAAAATATTAATAAAGAATAGTTCCTGCAAAGTTATGACAATTTTATTGCGACTATAGCGATTTGGGGTTCAAGTGCTCTCATAGTCACCCTCATGCATAGACGCATTCAATGTAAATATCTCGAGTTATAGGAACTGGTTAATAATATGGTCAGAGGGGGTTGCTACTCTTCTGGCGGCCGCGTCCCGCAGGATGAAATATAAGGCCATGAAGGGTCCAATTCTCCCACAAAAAAAGCTGCCGATCTGTGTCTGCTCTTAATTGTTAGCCGGTCTAAAGAGCAATATCATTGTTCCATTAATGTTATTATCGACAGCAGCTAGCAGCCGTAAGCTATCTGAAAACAATTTATTCCTACAAAATGCTGTTAAAGAATCGTTCCTGCAAAATTATGACCATTTTTTATTGAGACCAGCGAGCGTGCTGAACGCATTCTTATCTCAGGTATGGATTATTTTTCTCGACTGAGGGGTCACACCTTTTTCCACGGGATTGTTTTGTCCCGACCACCCCAAATTTTGTTGTTTTTATCTAGTTACCCAAAGACAAAAAAATAACGATAAAAATTAGATAAAAGAAGCAAGGATTCTCAAAGGATGGTATAAATATATTGATAAATAAAAATGCCCATAAAAACGCCGCCAGCAGGATTTTGCAATACCGTGGTGTGGCACCAATCCTTTAAAATTTTGCTTGAATTAGGCGTCAGGGGCGAAACTAGCCACTTTTAATTAGGGGGATGTCTGGCAGAATTGCCCTGCCAAAACCAATGATACCCTGCAGCCTACAGCGCGCCAGCGCTAGTACAATACATCACTAAGCCACGTGTATAATTACCACGAATATTGATATTCTTTAACTTTTTTTTAACTTGAAGAAATGTCTTATCACAATATAATCCTATAAGTAGTTTTCCTCGTCGGATAGCAAAATCAGCAAGTGTGCACGTGGACTGTCCTTAAATGATCATGCGAAAATGCCCTGAAAATATTAAACCTATTAAATGTTTCACTGAACAACAACCTCGATGACACCCATACTTATCTTATCCGGCCCCGGTGATTGTTTCTGGGCAGCTCGTTCCCAGGCCAGGGCATTTCAATTTTGACAAGATTTGATTTCGGCTAGATGTGATAAATTTACGGACATTTTTTTTAGACACTAGCTTACTGGCGTTTTCCTTTCAACGAAATTTCGGACTGCGAGCAGGCTAGGCTTTTCTGTTTTTGAAAGAATTTGCAAGAAACATATTAAAAAATGTTCTGGGGGGGCATGCCCCCAACCCCCATTTTACAGGCTTACTTAACCATACATGTATTTTGGAAATGGCCTAATGTATGGAATTAGCAGAGGCAATTATCGTCGTTGGTCGCTTAAAACCAATTTTTACCCTTTAACAACGAACTCCCACGATGTTTACAAATGAAGATACAAATCATATAACTTAATATAATGAGACGACGTACTTTTCATGTGTTGAACATAATTGGGAATTAGGTACGACAGAAGAGTGTATATGAATTTATTTATTTTATTTATTTATAAAAAGAACCCCTGTTAGCTCGATCCATTTTATTTAAAATGAAAACACGCTAGCCTCGCACAACTGAAAGCTGATTTACAGGAGGGGCGTGATATATAAAACAGTAAAATATATAGAATATTATATGAACCCTCAACCTCCCCTCCTCCCCCAACAACAAAGAAAAATAAAGTAAGTAAAGAGAGTTAACTATAATTAAGTCAACATGGTTCTAAAAGGACAGTTCCGCAATGCTACGCTTAAACTGACTGAGCGAAGTCGCTCTTTTTGTAGCTAATGGAAGACTATTCCACAGCATTGATGCACTATATTTAAAGCTTCGCTTCAAAAAAATAGTTATTGGTTTTGGAAGTGCCGACCGTTTCCTAATTTCGTAAATTATGGCCTCTATTAAGTTAAACTAACGCTAGTTTACACGAGGTCTTAAATATAGAATTACACTACAAGATAAAAAGTCTATATAAATCTAGGTATTAGTGAAAATTACTAAAGTACCAGTAAAAGTCCAAATAGTCAATTATGTAATTATATAAACCAGTCTAGCTGTTTAAGAACAGCAGATTTGAACATGGATTTCGAAGATATAAGCTTAATAGCACAGTCTAAATTGTTCCATAGATCGATAGCTCTAGTTCTAAAAGCCCGAGCTAAAAATGTTTTCTTCTTTAACATAGGTTTCTCTAATAACATATTATCACTTTGACACCTCGACGAGAATCTTGTGTTGTGTTCATGCGTAGTTTCAAGTGGTTTAAGATTCACGTAAATTGCATTTGGTTCACCAGAATAAAGTACATTATGCAATGCCATTAAGGTTCTGACATGAATCCTTTGTCTCACTGTTAACCAACCTATATTTAATCATGGAGATTTTCCCTAGATATTTCATCAACCTTATATCCTAGGCTGTTAAGGCACAATCTGGCGGCCTTGTTCTAAGTTTTTGTAAATTATTAATCGACTCTTGATTTTGTGCAGATCCCCAAACTGTACAACAATAGTTCAATTTTGACAGTATGAGTGCCTCAGCGATGGAATATATCTGCTGAACCTGAACAGTAAGCCAAGAGCTTTAGAACAATTTTAAGTATATCTTCACAACGCTGCTTCCAACTTATGTTCTCATCAACCTGGACGCCAAGGAGTTTTACACATGGACGTTGTTCAATGATTTTATCTTTAATGGATAAGTTAAGCGATGGAGCTGTTTTAACCTTCTGCCGACTTCCAATAAGGATAATATTTGTTTTATCAGCATTAAGAACGAGACGATTCTTCGAGACCCATACTTCAACTTTAGATAAGTCATGTTGAAGGTTATCTGATATGAGTCTGGCGTTGTGTCCAGATTGGAATGGAGTGCTATCATCGGCGTACAAGGTGATATCAGCTGTAGTTAAGACTGTTGGTAAATCATTAACAAACAAACTGAAGAGTAGTGGGCCAAGACAACTTCCCTGTGGCACCCCACAAATCATCTCGATCGGGTTAGAAAAAGCACCATTGATATATACGGTTGAGGTTCTCCCACTTAAGTATGACTTGATCCAGTTAATCGCATTAAGTGTACGGCGGAATTTGGCATGGGCGTATGGGCCTAATCTTGTTTGGGGGGCACAGTATAGTTTGCCCAAACGGGCAAACTGAACACTAATATTTCTCCCCAAAATTGTTGGCGAGCGGGGGGAGGGGTAACCAAAAAATTTTTCCGGACATACCCCAAAAAATTTTCCCGACATATCTACAAACATTCTACAAAATGTTCCGGACATATCAGAAAATTTTTCCTAACATCACGTAATTTTCGCAAAGATACAAACATTTTTTCAGGACATATCAAAAATTTTTCGAAATTTTAGTGTTTTGCCCGAATTTCGCATTGATTTTTGCCCGACCGTAAAAATTGGGGGGGGCCCCCGTGCCCCCCCCCCCGCCCCATACGCCTATGAATTTGGAGCGGCAAAAGTACGACACAAGTTCGAAAGAGCCTGTAGCATTATGCGCCATTGATTCATACGCGGCTGGCGGTAACAGCTAACACAGTAACAGCTGTGTGACAGGATAATTATTGCACTGTAAATAAAGTTATGATCAGATTTGTAGTTATTGACTGAAAAAAATCCGTCCAAAAAAGGTCCCCATACAGAATTGAAACTTTTGTGCTTAAATTAGTCTATATATACCGGTTTGCACGGTTAGGTCGCGATACACATGAACATTTTGAATATTTAGTTTTGTGTACATAGTTGACTGACATTGATAACTTGTATTAATTGAGACAGACAGACAGTCGAATCCGAACTACCCGTATACCATAAACCACAGAGCCTATAAATCATAACTGGTAGAACTTAATCAACTTACTATTCCTGATTTACAAACTTCGAAAGAAACTGTGTAGCTGTTTTGTAAGCTTTTATACTATATATATATAGGTTACAATATATTCAATATATATTTAATACATACAATTACAAGATCAAGAAAGGTCATTGTGCGTGCAGTGTATACAATGGTCAGTTGACTCAGTTTACCTGTTGTTACCCTCATTTATAATTCATTTATTGTCGTGCAGAGCTTTTACATATATTCTAAATATACTGATTTCATGACATCTGGCATTTCATCTAAAGCAAGCCAAAATCATGTACCGAATGACGGCAACCTTTGACAATTGGCAACCTTTGACAATTGACAAACAAAATTACACAATCGTAAAATTACACAATTATATATTAAAGAAATATTTGAGTTCATGGTTTATGGTTTTTCTGACAATTAATTCTCTTAATAGTGCATAAAACTCACCTTCTTTGTAACCGAATTTCTCTGAACTACAACACAGGTCAATATAATAACCGTGAGAATCACTGCTGCAGTTTAGGTCAATGCATACTATCAGCGGAAATTATCAGGCAACCGGAGATCATGTTTCAATAATTCACGGCAGTGTGTGTGATCTCGTGACCGGACCTCACTAAAAAATAGCGCATCAAGCCATGAATGCCTAAAATTTAGAGGCATTCATGGCTTGAACTCCGCTGTGATTTAATTACGACATCACGATATACGATCCCATTCAAAAATAGATACTTCCCAAATTCGCTAGGGTGCACGTGAAATAACAGCCTGAAATCTAGGCGGACGATGTATATCCATTATAAATATTAGATAGTTATTATTGCCAGCCAGCAAATTTGAGAAGTTCTATATAATAATAGGTAATTCCAGCTTTTAGTTTATGCGTGCAGGGGATGATGGGAAGTAAGTGATAGAGTGATAGCTTATATCTGTAAATATTGAAATATTTCGGTTGTTTCGGTTGTTATTGAAATTTTTCAGCATGATC